AAAAAAGATCGGAAAGCACCACGCGGTAGTACAGAAGGCCTCGTGCAAGAAGGGGACGTCCTATCCTCGTGCCTTGTCAAAATGTCTGACAAGTACTGCTCATGAATTAAAGTAGACTGTTATGCCTTCTGTTGCTTTCTTGATGGAAGACGTCATTTTAAATTTTGAAGAGTAGTGAAAAGTCAACAATGAGATGAAAAAAATACTTTAAAATTTTTTTAAATGAACTCTGCATGGATATTGAGAAGAAAAAGTTTAAATTTTGACGAAATATCTGTTGTTGGTTTTCTTACGTCCGCTAAAGCAGGTGAGCTCCTCTAAAGAAGTTTCTTATAACTGGACCGATTTTTAATGCTAGTAGACATTTGAGGTGTCACAAATGTGAGTAGAATTCCCTTCTTTAGAAATTAGCCCAAAACAAGTGCGATTTTTCAAAATTCCATACATTCGTATAAATCTCCTAATAATTCCATAGTTACGCCAAGCCGCTATCAGGATTACATTGGCAAACTAAGGCTCAATATCCTGTACAATAAACGGCAAACAGACTACGCATTGTATTCGGTCGACCATTCGATTCACGCGCTTTTTCTCCAATAGTTCACTTAGATTTGTCATAATCTCCCGTAAATTACGCAAAAATTTAGTATAAAAAGTATACAAATCCCTGTCATATTTCGTAATTTGGCAAGTTCATGATCATTTGGATATTTTTTGGCGAAATCGACGGTTACGTAAGACATCGATGAACACACAACCTTTCTTTATGACAGCCCCGACGTCGTGGCTTAAACAAAAGTGCCTTGTTTCATCATAAGACACACGAGTTACTGCAACTTTCATACAATCTTTGATATATCTGCCTTTGTCTCTAATGATGGGTTCGAGCAGGAATCCGAAACGTCAGGCTTATAAAGCTCTTGTCCCAGCGATCGTGTCTCCCCCTTCAAAAGCTTTGGTTTATTGTTTCTCATCAGGTTTGGCTTGGTTCACATGAAGTTTCCAAGAGGTAGCAGAATGAGTACAGCATGTATGTCGTCAACTGCCAGCTTCTATTGGTTTCGTTGAATACACGATGGCATGACGGCACATGTGATTATTCCACACGTCAGGAAATCTAACTGAAATATTCAGTCTGCTTCAAGCACATAACAACTCATCCAAACTACCTGTACCAGCTATTTGATATCAGAAACTTCCACGAAAATGACAATTACTTCTAAAAATTGGTCTAAGGTTAAAGCGGGACGAGGGTTTTTTTCTGATAAGAGAGCTATCAAGGATGAAACAATGACAAAAAACAGTGGGATCCTCAGAGCGGGCACCAAAGGGAGGCCTGAAATTCTAGAGTATACACAAATTTGCCTCTTTAAGCTATCAGTAATAAAATTACGGGACTCAGACAGTCGCTAAATTCAGACAAGTCACTTGTTCATGGACATTTTTGACTGAGGCCACGCCTATAGACCAAGCGGTTTGGCACGCCTCGAAATCACAAGACGCCGGGCGGATCATGTGGTGTTTTTAGTGTCACGATCCACCTTTTAGAAATTGGTCAAAAGTAACTGACTCTCTCAGAGGCGTGCATAATCTACTTCACTGTCTTTTGATTACATCAAGGGAAAACAAAGTGGAGGCAACTGAGCGGTTTTATTCAAGTGCTTGCAAGTTAGAAGGACTTTCGAGTCTGTGATTATATTATCATAGTAGATGTGAAATGCAGTATCGACGTTCTTCGTCCCTTCGCAGCACTTCCTTCGTTCTGGGCGGCAAACGCTGTCATCGGGCAATTAATCACCAAATGCCTACACCCCTCTTCACAAGATTACATACGTCAACCGTGTTGTGCAGTGATGTCACGTCTGAAAGAGGAATGCTTTTGCGCCGAGTTAATAAGTGTGATTGCGTTGTAAGCTATTTGTTTTTGAATTTGCACAAGTGGACTGAGGACTGTGAGATCTTCAACAAGCTGAGCTACTGCATAGGGTGCATTTTTCTCGAAAGAACAGAAGCATTTTTTGCTGGAAATCCGATAATCCAGAAAATTATCATTCATTCTTCCGAGCAGTCAGTTTAGTTGGTCTATCGTGCCGCCCCACTGCAGCATGTGAACCCACGCGAGACAAAGACGGAACTGCGTTAAGAAATGAACTAAACGGGTGGGCGTAGATGCAATACAACATACCCTAGAAGGCCACGGGTTAACGATAAGCACATGCATGCAGTTCAGTGGTCGAAAATTCAACGAAGTACTAATGAGAAAATAAAACAAAGTATGTTTTAATCTAATCCGCCACAAAATCTCTGTTAGTCACTTCTCCTTTCTTGATGTGTGATGACTTTTTTCACATACGGGAGAAGCCTTTCAACTCTTTCACTTTTCCACAAACAAAAAAACGAACTTCACATTTTGGAAAATTCTGTGTATAACGACATTTTCAAAAGAACATACTGAGCATTTAATGCCCCTTTGCCTGCGAAGCTGCTTCTACAGGAAGTGTCGGTGTCGTGACAAACGTGTTTATTTATGGGACGAAGAAATGCTTAAGAAAATCAGGCAGTCGATCCGAACGCGCACTATCCAGGCAGAAGTGGTCAAACGCAACAGTCGCACTGACCAAAAAACGTTCCAAACAACGCCTACTTAGTTTAATATAGTAAACAGTTCTGGGTAGCGAACCTACTCGGTTATGCATCCTATCCTTACAGTTGCACCTAATTAGGTGATTTGCGGCTAAATAGATATAACGCCAAGTCGACAGAAGAAAGATTTAAGAGTCCCTGGGATAAAATTCATCTGGTATTTATTCAGTTTACTAGGGCTCCACTTTAAAAGGGGCCACTATTTTATCCGTCCCCTAAGACGTATTCCACATCACCCTTGGCCCATTTGACTTCAAGGTGGGATTTTCCTACCGCCTGTAAAATGGTGACCACCAGTCATAATCCTCGGTGTTCAGATATCTACCGAAGTTGCAACGTACTTTACTTCTAGTTTCTGTCCCTGTGCAGCCTCTTCAGAGTCTCGATGGAAACAAGAAGTCTTGGGTGATCTGGGAGACATGGGACACACGATGGTTCGACCGTCGACTTCGACGATGTCCACCGTGTGCTCCATCGCAAGGTGAGAGCAGGGACGGTGACTTGCGCGGGGACTAGTTTATAGGGATGGTAGACTTGCGTAGCATCTACCGCACTTCCTCTCTTCCCCACTCCCCACGTGGACCCGATGTCAAGACAGAGTCAAAAGACCAGGGACGAGGGATGGCGCAGGTGGCTGGCACGGCCGGACCCACACCTAGGCGTCCTATCACACCCCCTAAGCCACAACATACTCATGACCAGGATTTTTCACCAACAACAACAAGACCCCAACGGAGGTAAGAAGGACAAAGAGGACTGGACAGCCATGACAACCACCTGGATACCCAGCGGCAGCGCAAGTGCATCTACAGGCAGGAAACCGCCAGCACATACCAGATTGCAAGGGCCTTGGTTTGCTGATACGGGCCTAGAACACAATTACAGAGCTTTTGATCTAGAAGGGCGACACGTGGTCTTGCATTTAGCCTGGGCCGTCACCATTCAAGGTTGGGTATCCAAACAGTCATTGACTGAGAGAGAACACATATAAAGCACACTCTCTCCTCACATGCGTGAAAGTGTCACAGATCGCTGCCTTCCGAGTCACAGCGCACGACGCAACGTCTTCATCTCAGTCTCCGATCACCCATGCAGCAGGGGAGCCGCATAGAGAAGGAGTCGAGACGCACACCTCCCACTTGCGTGGGAGGTGTCAGTTGGGTGTTTGCGGTGAGTGATGTTGGTGTGCGGTGAGATGCTGGTGAGGGAGGACGTGATGGTGTGATGCGGCCGGTTTCATGAACGCGCATGTAGCTTAATAGACCTATGCGGTAAATAAATGTACGAGTGCTATGTGGACAGTGGAGGCGGATGCGACGAGTGTAGTTTGGTGCTCCAGGCATTGGTTCGCCAGTCTCTGTGCGATGGATCCGCAAGTGACAGATCAGGCCGATGAGTGAGGTGAATGTACGGGGACAGTGTGGACATGAGAGGTCGGTGCTGTCAGTATCAGCTTCGGTGATGGAGATGGTAAACCTGGTGGTGGTGGGCGCTCTGGGCGACGGGGTATGGGTTGGGCTGAGCATGATAGGTGGGCAAGATGCACTGAGTGTGATGGAGCTGGTGGCGTTATCCGCGCTGGGCTAGGCATGGTGAGTGCGCTAGGCGTGGTAGGGCTGCGGTCAATTCCGATTTCATGGATACGCATGCGGCCAAATAGCCCCATGCAGTGCATGAATGTGCGAGGACATTGTGACAGTGGAGGCGGATGCAGGGGGTGTAGGTTAGTGCTCCAGGCACTGGTTCGCCAGTTTCTGTGCGGTGGATTCGCAAGTGACCGGCCAGGCCGATGCGAGAGGCGAACGTGCGTGAACAATGTGGGCATGTGAAGTCGGTGGCGTCAGTGTCAGTTGCGGAGAAGTCGGTGGGCGCACAGGGCGATGAAGCGAGTGTGGGGCTGGGCATGTTGGATGAGTTGGAAGTGGTGGGTGAGTCGGGAAGGCGGTCAATTCCGCTCACGTGTATTCGCATGTGGCCGAGTAGGCCCATGCGATGCGTAAAGGTGCGAGGGCAGTGTGGGCAGTGGAGGCGAGTGTGGTGGGTGTAGATTGGTGCTCCAGGCACTGGTTCGCCAGTCTCTGTGCGATGGATTCACAAGCGACCGATCACTGTCCTCCTCCAGGTGGGTCGGTCGTCCGCGAGGTCTTTCTAGTTGGTCGGGTTAATTTGCAGATGCTTCCGGGAGGACTTCAAAGTATCCTTGTATCGGCGAAGTTGGCCTCCTTGGCGGCGAGAAGCCCTGGCGACGTCTCCACAGAAGAGTCGTTTGGGTAACCCTTCGTCGTCCATGCGCACGAGGTGGCCACACCAACGCAGGTGCAGTTGTCTCAGCATGGTGTAAATGCTGAGGACTCCCGTCAGTTCCAGTACATCAGTGTCGGGATTCGATTCTGCCAACTCGGCAGCACGATGCGACGAAAACGACTGAGGTGGGAGTGGTTGAGTCGGCGTGCCTGCTTTGTGTACACTGTCCAAGTCTCTGCTCCGTACAGCAGCGTCGAGAGGATGCTGGCCTTGTACATCTCCAGCTTCGTGCTGAGCTGGAGATCATGACGAGTCCAACCTGTGCTTTGAAGGCGACCGAAGGCTTGACTGACTTTCGAAATCCTGTGGGCAACTTCGTCATCGATTTTGGTACTACAGGAGAGAGTACTGCCCAGGTACGGGAAGTTCTCCACCACTTGCAGTTGGGTTCCGTTCACGCTGATTTGCGGCGCATTGCGATGGGCTGTGTTGGGTGGCGGTTGGTGCATGACCACCGTCTTCTCCGTGTTGATGAGAAGGCCGAAGTTCTCGCGGATGACGGAGAAGAGATCAGTGCTCCTTTGCATGTCTCCTTCAGTAGTTGCATTGAGGGCACAGTCATTGGCGAAGAGAAGTTCGTGGACAGTGCTTGTGGAGACACGCGAGAAAAAATTCATCCTCCGCTGTTTGAGCAGTTGACTGTCCGTTCACCTCTCTTATGACTCTTTTGCCTGGTAAGGATAAAGAAAATGTGCGGGTAGGAAAAAATTATGGAGAACCGTCTACTATATGTATCAAAGTAGGTGTTGTACTGCGGAGTCCTGTTCGGCCCTTTGACGGCGAGATGACATTCGTTGACCTGTACCGCCTAGGGAGCGGGCGCTGCTGAGATGCCCTCAGAGTATCATTGTTCTGCACGCCCCTTATGTGATTCTCTAGTGTGAGTGAAGCTCAATTTAAAAAAACGTTAGGCATGGAAAGCAGTCAGATGGTAAAAAATACTCGAAATAATGATAGACAGAGAGCATACGTCTGCCCGTAAGGCAGGAGTGTTGAAACGCTGGTGAATTCGTTGAACAAGAGTTGGCATTTTCTTATCCTGCGCCTGTTTTTAATCCTTGCCGTTCGTCTTTTCTGAAAGGGACGTCTACACACTGTCTCCGATGATGGGTTCAAGTGGGAATCCGATGTGTCCGGCGAAAAAAACCGTTGTTCCAGCGATCGCTTCTTCTACTTCCTATTAAATAGTTCCTGGAACTCGCAGCTTCGCTTGTATCGACATCCACGCTGTTGGAACGTTACCCTCCCCTTCAGCCTTGTTCAGAACTGTGTATGTCGAATGAGGTATTCGTCCAGAGAAGACCAAAGTAGTTCGTTTTCAAATGATGTGGATGAGGTGTTTACTACGGACATTTTCTAGTCTGCTCCAAGAGCGTTAAAGCCAGAAAAATTCTTGCCTGACTTGAATCATGTGGCTGTTTCCTTTTTTATTTTTGTCATTGTTCCTTTGCCCCCTCAGCAGCCGTCTCACTTTCATTCTGTCGGTTCGCAATCGGGCTCCAAAAAAGTACTTCGGTATGCATGCCTCGCAGGGATGCTTTTCCTGTAGTAGGAGCTGCGCCTGCACATCGGTTTCCAGGGTGGTTTTTAAGAGCTTGTAGTGCCATTTCAGTCCGTTTTGTTTTAATCAGTTATGATACGCATGTTAAATAGCTTGGCACAACTTTGAATGAGACAGAGAACTAGCACGTGCATTTTTACCTGCTGACGACTTTGCTCTTATTTACTAGTTTGTAACTGTGGGGATACTTCTATCTTCGTTTCCCGGATAGCCTACTTACTGTGCCCAACTAATGGAATTATCGCTTACAAGCTGAGGCCGGAAATTCAAATCAGACGCCGGCTGAGCCTTCCCTATTATATCTGCCTTATGAATGCTGGGCTACCCTTATCCCTTAGCAAAGCCATAGCCCACTCTTGAAGACGACCAAAGTCATGTTTAACTTTATCCCTTGGAATTGCTGGCAGTGATTTTGGAACTCCCTAAATAAGTAGATTTTGTTTGCGATTTAACTGAGCGCCTGCTATGGTCGCATTACATCTGCCAACCGACTAAGGATTCGTTTCCAGTTTACTCCTTCCACTAGCAACTGAAGAATTGGTTTTCGGACTTGCGGAGTCCATATCCGCGAAAGATTTGGCAATCTTCGTGTTGAAGAGTCAGTTGACGAACATATGTTTTCGGTAACTCATCATCAGGCCGGTGCATTTACATGGGTAATGATCAGTCAAATTGTAGACGGAATATATTGGCCGCGTAACCAGGCGTCTGGAAAAGAGAATACGCGAACACATGCCTGCCTGGCTGGGCAGAGCTGAAAATCGACCGATTTCGAGCTCAATTCTCGCACATCTAATCGATACAAACCACCAAGCCGACGCTAAAGAAGCTTTTAAAGTTCTCTACCGGGCATCGGCACACTACTCTAAAGGCCTACACAAACGGGTGATAGCCACAGCCGAAGCAGTGGCCATTCGACTAGCGAACTCAGCACTCTGTTGTCAGAAGACGCTGACACAAGCAGTCTGGCTGCCCTGGCCGACTCCAGACGGTGATCGCACCCCGTCCCGACGCCCTGAGAGCAGTCACACGCACTTACAGCGCTTACAATCTAGCCGGACCCCCCCTACTTACCCTCCTCCACCCCGACTCCACCGTCCTCAACACGTTGACTCCGTCATGCGGGCGGCGTGGCAACATGGAGTCCGACTAACCCTGCCCCTGAGACACATTTATATTCTGTCAACAATTTGACTGATCATAACTCGTGTACATGTATCGGCCTGATGATGAGTTACCGAAAACATATACTCGCCAACTGACTCTTCAATCGTAACATGGGAATTTTCGCAGAACTGAGACAATCTTCGTGTTGATTATATGTTATTCTACTTTGCTTCGTTGTCCGCTGAAACAGTCTGTCCTCGTTTATTTAGGAGCTCCCCTCCGTTGATTTTTGGCATTATTTTCGTTCTGTGACGTGCAACACAACCGAGAGCTTCCATCGGCCCTTTGCAGACCCAATGACAGCCGCCCTCCGTTTGCTTGTGTGCACACAAGTGGGCTAGGTAGACCCTGGTCCTGCAAACCGCACAGCGGTACATGATGTTGCTGCACATGAGAAAGTCTGCCAGTCTTCAGGATGTACTCCTGATGAGTCTGAAACGTGTTCTAATGACTTTGTTCTCTGTTTATTCTGCCTTCGCATGACGGCATGATGGACGATGTTCCTACTCCCTTTTCATGTACGTGTTCTCTGATTTCAGGACGGTTTCCAAGTCTTTTTTATAATCGACACCTGTTGTGCTTTATGGGCACTGCCGACTTGGAGTTCGGGAGTGAATGGACGCTGAAGCTTGTCCTTCTCGTAGGGGTAGCCATGGGGGGCGTGATAGAATCCGCTGTACAGGAATATTGTGAAAGTAACGGAATCTGTACATGTCCGAGCGGATATTCCCGAAGGTTGGATAGTGCGCAACCCACTTCCGAATTATTGCACGTCTTTTTCGACACTAAGGTAGCGACCAAGAATTTGACAGCTCAAAGGACCTGAGACTCAAACCAATTTTGGTCGAATCTCCTTTCGTGGCCGCATCTGTAGTAGACAAGCCCCAGCCGCCTGTCAAACTGGGCCGGTGGTAATAGGGGGTCTAACATTAACCCCGTGACCTCCTAACTACTAACCCTAGCCCCTTACCCTTAACCCCTTAAAGGTACGGCTACGAAATTGGACCTTACCCCAACTACAAAATAAATAAATTCGCAAGCGACTTGAGACCACTGAAAACAATGACTGTCTTTGACTGAAACGTAACACAGCAGCAACAAACAAACCTCCTCAGACTGAACTCTGATGCACAATCACAAGGTCCATCCCCTGTTGGGATTCACAGCAACAGTTTATCCAGACAATACTGTGGTTGATTCTTTATGATATTCAGAAGAACAGGTCTAGGTTGGAATTGCCTTCATCGACCGGGTTATGGGATATGCTTGTCCTGTGGTGCCTTGGAACTCAATGCAGAACTCTCGCATCCAGACGAACAGCGACTAGTAATACAGACATAGAGGAACTACTTCGAAAGGCGAGAGCCTGGAATCACCCTTTCTCGTTTATCAACCATATACAGTCTTTCGTCCGCCTTGTCACAGGTTTCTTCCCGCATCCAACAGGATGACCAGCCCGCGGTCCAATTAGTAGAGCGTTGGATGTAATAACGCTCGGTGGCTAATGAACGCGGGATTTCTGAGCCCAGGCGCTGCAAACCGGGGTTTGCGCGAGGCTGGCTGACGATGGCTTTTAAGCCAGAAATGACTGTCCCAGTCTCCCTTGTCTTTGTCCTCAGAGAGGCACGTCTTCCTGCAAGACATGGTCCTTCATGGGCTCCGAATTTATTGGCCAGCTGAGAGTCCAACAAGAGTCGTAGAATCCCCTAATTAGTGTTGCAATCATATAAGTATCATAGCTGCATTAGCCAAGGGCCGCCAAAATGGAAACCTGGTTAGGTGAAAAAAAATGCCCAACTGGAGTGTCTGACACGGCCTATGATGCCTTTTACGTTCACCCACCTTTGTCAAGAGCAAAGGTGTCTGCAGGGGGGGCGAGCCTTTACTTAAATAAATAAATAAATAATAGTGTATTTTAGGGTAACAGGCAATGCCCTTGATGACCCTATTGAAAACGGTACATAAAATATAAATGTTAAATATACCTTTTACTAAAGTTTTGTCAGTAACATATTTCTTCACGGAAAAATGTTTCACAATGCGGGACTGCGAAGGGTGCGGCAGGAGGTCTTCTCAGTGTACATATGAAATTTTAAGTGCAGTTATATACAATCAGCATAAAGTACTGTCATTTGCATAGTTTGAAAGGAGACATTTCATTAAAAGTCGGGGATGTGGTAAGTAGGGATGAAATCAAGAAATGAAATTTATGGCTGGCCGCAGATAGTCCTGTTGTGAAGGTCGTCGTTTATCAAAGATCAAACGATCGAGCTGCCTTTTGAATACAGCGATTGTATCAGATGTCACTATTTCACTTGGGAGTGAGTTCCATGGTCGAACAACACGCTGGCTGAAGGAAAACTTCCGAATGTCTAGGCGTGTACGCTCCCGCTTGACTTTGTACGGGTGACCGCGCAGGAGACTCGTGGTCGTGAATTCAAAGAAGTCGTCAGTTTTGAGCGAACATTCATGCCCGTGGATAATGCGGAATGTCCATAACAGGTCACACCTCATTCGTCTATAGGATAGGGGGAACAAATTTAACTGGATCAGCATTTCTGGGTATGACAGAGTCCTGAGACCGTCCACCAGTTTTGTGGCCCGTCGTTGCACCTGCTCTATGGCATCACTGTCTTTCTTCATCCAGGGCATCCATGATGGCATTCCGTATTCCAAGTGCGGTCTGACGAATGTGCCGAATATCTGTGAGAAGTGTTCTGGAGGAAAGAATTTGAAGGCACGCCTAATCCAGTGCACGATGCTGGTTGCCTTTTGGACGACTCTTTTGCAGTGCTGGGAGGGCAGCAAGTTTGAGCATGTCCAGACACCTAAGTCTTTGTGCGTGTCCACTTCTTTTAGCGGAACCCCATTTATGGTGTACTGATGTTT